TCAATGAAGGTTGTTACAGGCTCAGAGAGGCGTACAAGACCAAACCTTATTCAGCCAGGCGATCGGGAGTGGGTTACAGTTATCCAGAGCATCTGCGCTGCTGGGTATGCTATCCCACCCTTCATTATCTACAAGGGGCGTGTCCACATCTCTGCCTGGTATGAGGAGACTAATATACCGTACGACTGGAAGCTCTCTGTCTCTGAGAACGGATGGACAAACAACGCGCTTGGTCTTGAGTGGTTGAAGCATGTTGACGTGCATACAAGAGCGCGTCAGAAGGGGTTGTGCAGGCTGCTTATCTTGGACGGCCATGAGAGCCATCTCAACCAGAATTTTAAGGACTACTGCCTGGAGAACAGAATCTTAACCCTCTGTATGCCTCCTCACTCATCACACATACTTCAGCCACTTGATGTGGTGTGTTTCTCACCGTTGAAACTGAAGTACTCCCAACGCGTACGAGCCTTGGCATCCAAACGCGTCTTCCACATTAACAAGGAAGGCTTCCTCCCAGCCTTTAGAGACGCGTTTTTCGACGTGTTTACGTACAATAACTGCAAGAAGACCTTTCAGGCATCAGGACTAGTGCCTACTGACGCGCAGGTAGTCATTGATCGGCTTGAAGTGCGATTTCATACCCCTCCACCAGTACCTCTACTAGAAACACCATGGCAATCCCAAACACCAAGCAATACGTACGAATTTGGGTCGCAGTCAAAGCTTGTAAGCGAGCGCTTCGTACGGTCACCAACATCTGCTCAGGAAGGGTTCTCAAAGCTAGTAAAAGGAGCTGAGGAGATGCTGCATGAAAATGTTCTTATTAAGGCTCGTGTACGAGAGCTTGAGGAGCAATTAGCAGAGGTTACTAAGCGCAAAGGGCGTAAAAGAAAGCAGATTGAGTATGGTGGGACAATAGAGTATGGTGCTGCAGCGTTGTCTGTAGCTGAGAGCGCAGCTGCAGCTCGTACGGTGTCAAAGAGAGCGCGCAGTGGTAGTGGTCAAGAAAGAGCCCAGCCAGGTCAACGGCACTGTGGCAACTGTGGAAAGACTGGGCACAACGCTCGTACGTGCCAAAAAGATGCAGAAGAAGATTCTGCATCTAATTGATTTGATTTGATTTGATTGGGTCCTACACGGTTGCAGCCGCGAAATGCAGCTATGCCCGGCTGGCAGGCTTAGCAGACAGCCGACGCGGTGCGGACGTTGATCCGCGCCGCCCCACTTCACTCCTAAGAACCATCTGTCCCCAGAGGCCTGCCGTTTCCCTCTCATCACTATCTACACGTGGCTGCCAACCTCATCTAGATAATGACTCTACTAACTGAACACTGTACTTCTAGGCTCGTAGAGGCACGTGTGCCTCGTGTTTTGCGTCTGCAATACCTTCAGTCTTCCCCCAGCGCTCGGCTGTCGTCTTCGCGCCTGCGATCCCCATTTTGCCCAAGGATCTGCGTCTGCTCTACATACTGGATGGCTTTCGTGGCTAGCTGTGGCGTGCTTAGGATGGTCCGGATGTTGTCTCGTCCGGACAGGTTGGCGAAGATGCGGTTCCGGAGGTTCCTGCGCTTGCTGCAGTGGAGAAGGATGTGGGCGACGGTCTGTCGTCTTGCTCCGCAGTCGCAGCGGGGGCTGGTAACATCTGGCACTCTTCGGGCGAAGAGAAAGTCGTTAAAGCCAATCTTCTCGGTCCGTAGCTGCACCAGCAGCGCGCTCTCTCGCTTGGTAAGCCCCTCGTGGAGCCGGAGTACCTTTTTGGTGGGCGTTGGTGTGTGTCTGTAGGTTGCGCGGCCCTTTGTGTCTGTGCGCCACTTCGCTATCCATGCCCGCTCTGCTTGTGTCTTGCACCATCTTTTCACTGTCGACCTTATGGTATATAGGTTGGGAGGCGCGTCTGCCGGTGGGCTTCTGCGCCCGTGTTCCCTCCATCCAGTGGCCTCCTTGGCTGCTTTGTCGACGGCCTCGTTTCCCGGGATGCCCACGTGGGCTGGTATCCATCGGACGGTTACTGTCCGTCCTTTGTCCTGGAGCTCCTGGACCTGTCGTGCGATGTCCGCGAGGATGTAGGCGCCTGATCGTCCCTCAGCCTTAGCTATGGACCAGATGGCGGCCTGGTTGTCTGTGTATATGGCGATGTCTCGTCGCGCGCCGTTTCGGCTTGCATATTCTTGAGCGATCTGCATTGCTAAGCTGATGCCTTGTAGCTCTGCTGCGTATACCGTCGACGCCGTGTCTGGACCCATGTGTACGGATCGTACCTGTTGTGTGAGTGGACACAGTGCTGCAGAGCCTATCTCGCCTTCGATGCCGCTGCCGCCAGGATACATTTATATTGAGATACAATACATCGTAGGAGTCGACCATGTCTGCATACCCAGACCTCCCACCACAGTTTTCCCCCTCACTCTGAAATCTTGTTTCAAAGGCTCTTAGGTTCCATAGCTCGGCTGGGACCGGCAGCCTCGCTACCTGTGTGCACCTGATTTGCTCCATAAGCCTGTCTCAGTGGCACTGCCTTCCACCCTCTCAACAGACCGACACGATCAAGTCTTTGGCGTAGAAATTGTATGCCAAATCAAATCTACAGTGAAGATTTGATTTGGAGATTTGATAGATTTGATAGTGTTGTTTAACTGTAGAAGCGAGCGGGTGTTGCTGCAAAAGTAAGCAATATTCTAAGTCGTTGATTGGCCACGATAGGCTCTGCGTACCATCTCATCGCGCATCCGACGCGCTGTTTCGTTATTATTGCCTATCTATCAGCTTACTTTTGGTGTTGTTTGGCCATCGCAGTCCATTAACAGCGTACTTGTTGCTCAATTTGCTTACCTTGTAAGCCTGCCAATAGCCCAAGATGCCTCCCAAACGCGCCATCGATGGCAACACACGCGCTGGAGTACGCGCCAACAGCGCCGTAGAGGTAGCTGATGAAGGTGGAGGTCGCGGAAAACGACAGAAAGTACGCACCCAGCGGGCTATCGAAAGCGACTCGCTGCCAGCCGGCACTGCCAGCCAGCCGATAGAGCTGCCCGAAACGCAGCCGACTGCGCTGTCGCCTCCATTATCACCATCACAGGCACCCAGCCAGCCAGCCACGCCCGCTGAAGACCCGCTCTCCGGCCAGGTTATTGGTGGCTCACAGCGGCCGTGGGAGCTGCAGTTGTTGGAGTTGCAGGCGTCGACGCCGACAACGGCGTCAAAGGCAGCCACGGAGGCTTCAACTGTGGCGGAGGATAACAATGGTGGCGGCTTTGATGAGCGATTTGCGGATAACTACAATGGCATCGATTGGGATAAGCTGGCTCGGTACCAGGCGCCTCGGCGTACGCTTACGGGCAAGAAGAGCTGGGTCTTTCAGTACGGCTATCGCGTCGCGTTAAAGCAGACTCCTGCACAATTAAAGGCTGATGAGCCTGAGCGTACCTTCTTTGTACGCCGTTGGTGTCATTAGAACACGCCAGCGAGCAGTGTGATTGAGGTAACGGACGCCACAAGCTCTGTGGCAAAGCACTTGGGTCGTCAAAGGCGCGGCCATCGCCTAACTGCGCGTGGGAAACAGCTGCCCCAGCTGCCGGGTGGTCAGTCAACGATACTTGACGCGTTGAAGAAAGGCGTAGTTGTGCCACAAGCCGTGGCCAATGAGCTTGGAAATTTTGACGTACAGGGCTTTCGGCTGGCTGCCGTGCAATGGCTCGTGGAGAATCATCCGCTGCGTGAATTCGAGACTGAGAGCTTCCGGCGTATGTTGCAGTTTGCCAACCCAGCAGCAGTTGATGCCTTGTGGACGAGCCACAACAGCGTGTCGAGGTTCGTACTGCGGCTCTACGACTACCTGGTTCCTATTGTTAAAACAGAGTTAGCAACGGCGATAAGCAAGGTCCATATTAGCTTTGACGGCTGGACTGCAAAAGGTGGCAAGCGTGGCTTCTTTGGTATTGTTGCTCACTACGTGGATACCTCTGGAAAGATTCGTGACCTGCCTTTAGCGCTGCCGCAGCTTGCTGGCGTCCACAGTGGCGAGAAGATAGGCGAGTGTGTTGACAAAGCGCTGCAGGCGTTTGGTATAACAGAGGAGAAGCTGGGTTACTTTGTGTTAGATAACGCTGCAAGTAACGACGTAGCAGTTGAGTACTTGGGTAAACAATACGGGTTTACTGCTGCTCAACGCCGCCTTCGTTGCAGCTGCCACACCATCAATCTTGTCGGCCAAACTGTCATGTTTGGCAAGGACAAAGACGCCTACGATAACGATCCAAAGCACGAGAAAGACGAGGAGAAGTTCATGGCTGAGTGGCGACGACTGGGACCACTTGGGGTGTTTCTGGATATCACTAACTACATCAGTACGCCAAAGCAGTATCACAGCTTCTCTACTTTCCAGCACCTTGCGTTAGCCGAAGATCCCACAAACAAGACCTTATTATTAGCTGTTGTTAAGGCAGTTGTCACACGCTGGAACAGCTATTGCGCTGCCTTTGAGCGCGGGCTTATCCTCCAACGTCCTATCACTGACTACGCCAAACACCACATCTCGCGAATCAAAGAGCTCAATCGAACAGCCAACAAGCCAGCAGCAGCTCCAGCGTGGATGAGATCAACAGGCTTAACAGCAGCTGATTGGGCGGTCATCACCGAATACGTTGATATACTGAAGCCGCTCAAGGTGGCCACCGAGCGGCTGGAAGGTCGGGGCAAGAGCAGACTATCAGGCGATCGCAAGCTCAATGGGCGATTTGGTGCTCTCTATGAGGTTATCCCCACCTTGGAGCAGCTCATAAGTACTTATGAAGAGCGCTTGGTTACCTATCGCGATGTTGACTTCGAGCAAGAAGACGCTCCAGAGGACCATTTAGCTATCAACTTACGCGCAGCTGTCGCTAAACTAAAGCTCTATTACAGCAAACTGGGCAACAGTCCAGCGCATTACGCTGCAATTGTCCTCCATCCGCGCTATCGTAACTACTGCAAAGTCGCTTGGTCGAGCGAGCCAGCCCAGTTGGGGTCGCTTGGTGTAGTGGTCAAACACCTGGCTGAGGTGACCTGCCTGCCTAGGCGGCACAAACCTCGTTGGTTCGAATCCAGCAGCGATCAAAACCACCTTTGTGTGGAGACCCAAAGCTCGCTTAGACAAGCGAGCACCTGCTAGGAAGGAGGCAACTGCACTACTTGTTCAAGTTTCTTAGAGGTTTTTCCCTACGAGGTTTTTACCCTAAGAGGGTACAAGGCATATATACTATAGAAACCAAAGGACTATAGTATGGAAGGAAGACAGTACAGGGGCAAGCTCTTAGGAGGCAAGAATCACAAGGATTGCCTTAACCGGCGAACGAATGCTCACAACGCGCATCTGCGCCACTCTACCCAAGAAATTGCTTTTTATAGTAGTGTTAACACGTAATTCTATAGCTTAGCACGTCCATAGATACCCCACGGGAGGTTGAGTTCACTACTCCAAGAGACGTTAAGCAATACAATACAATACAGCCCAGTTGGCAGCTGCCGACGCTGCCTTTCAGCAACTTTGGTGCCTCTACAGGCGTATGTCCACTCCCCGGCTGCCTCCGCGTCCAGTGGTTAGGCGCTCCAACGCTATCGACGACGCTGTTGACGCGATTATTGAGGCAGAGAGCGACTCTGACAGCGAGACTGGCGATGAGTATGAGCGCTGGCGAGCTTGTGAGCCGCGTTGGAGCCGCGCCGACTTCGATCGTGAAGGTAACCCAGTTCGATATTGGCTCAGCTTGCGCAACAAGTACCCATCGTTGGCGCAGTTTGCGCTGGATATACTAAGTATCCCAGCCTCCAGCGCAGAGTGTGAGCGCTTGTTCAGCGAGCTGGGTGACTTGTTGGAGCCAAAACGGCGTAAGATAGGCTCACAGTTACTGGCTGCTCTGCAGTGTGTTCGCAGCTGGCTGAAGGCCGGCTTCATGAGCAGCGACGATGAGGTTGATGAGAGCAATCTCACTGAAGCTGCAATTGACAGTGTGTACGGAGTATCTCAATGGGACGATTAGCTACCAAATTGCAGTACAGAACGTCAATTTCAGATCAAGATTTGCAAATCCGACTTCCAAATCAAGTCTTAACAGCTGCCAAGACCTCCAAATCAAGTCCTCTATAGTCGTTGAGAGCAAGTAAATCAAGTCTATGGGTGGATTTAGACTTGATTTGTTTGTTGACAAATGTGCTGGTATGCATGTGATTCGACAAGTTTCCATCAAACGCTTCACCCAAAGTGTCATCGTGGCTAGATCGCGAACAGGTCAAACGCGACTATGGTGACAGATTGCGTTGTTCGTGCGCAGGGTCTTGAGTGGACGAAAACTGAGGCCAGCAGGGCTTGGACAGGATAAAGGTGGTTGATTTCGAACGGCATCGGTCAAACTATCTGTCCGCTCGGGTGTTCCTCTCATCCTCCAAACCACACCTCCACTTCGCTGAATGTTTGTCTTCTCCGACACTGCTCGCGACCAGCGCGTAGCCAGCGACAATCTTTATCAAAAGTCCTCCAAATCAGACACGCGGGTGTTTGCAGCTCGGCTGAGCGGCTGATCCTACCTGCAGGTTGCAGTTCTTGCCTAAGAAGTTCGTCAGCTTTTCAATTGTCAGCCTCGTCAGGCGTACCAATCTTGCACATTGTGAGCAAGCAAGTGTAGGCCGTCTTCAGGATATGTACTCACCTCTAGATCAACTGGTACTACTGCTTGTCACCACGGCACGATCCATCAGCACGGCCTTCAGCTGATCGGGCACCGTGAATTCTTCCTCTGCATCTCTAATTCGCTGACCCTCTGCACTGTTTGTCGCAGCATAGCCTTGCATAAGATGCAGGTCGTCTTTGAAGGACATCTCTATCATTGCATCCCATCCAAGGTCCCTCGGGTAGCCCACAAGTAAGACGGGCGCATCGCTGTCGTTCCGGTGCTTCGATGCAAGGGTCGCTCCCAGCCTATCCCCAAAGCCAGAGCCACAACGCTCGACGTAGCGCAGAGTTGTCGTTTCTGGCACATGGGGCCCCATCACATCCTTCACGATTGGAATGAATTTCTTCTCCATGTGCTCCCTGAACTCGGATGGAGTGAAATCCGGTCGGCGTGTGTAGAAAACAAGAATGGTAAGCGCCATTCTTTTGGAAGCTGCTGATGAAGTGTAGTGTTGAGCTTGACAAACGCGGGGACGAGGGAGGCTACGTGGCTGTCAATCTTTTGATGCGAGAAGAGTCGTCCAATAGGTGTCCGCGAATCCAAATCACCGAAATCCTTGGCCGAGCCACATGGACGAACTCAGCAATCGAAGGTGATGAAGTTTTTGGGGTGCTAAGTGAGCAGAGATAGCGGTCAACGTAGCTGGGCTGGGTCAACTTGCGTCTGCCCCGCGGTTACCGTGGACTAGTTAGTACCGTGTCCGTGCACTCAATGCACGCCGTCAGTCAATGCACGCGATCGCGATTTCATCCCAACTTCGCACGCCCCACAACTCAACGCCACGACGACTATGGAAGACGCCCTTGCAGAGCTAGATGCTCTTGACTCTAGCGAAGAAGTTTGCTACGCAATAATAGCTAAAAAGCATGGTGTTGATCGCTCAACGTTGTCGCGCAAGCACCGAGGTGTCAGCGGGTCGCGCGCGGAGGCAGGCTTAGCACGTCGCAATCTTCAACCAGAACAGGAGGCAGAGCTTGTAAAGTATATAGAGGGGCTGACAGAGCGAAATCTACCTCCTACAAGAGAGATGGTGCAGAATTACGCGTCTGATATCGCTGGACACTCTGTCTCTGAGAGCTGGGTTACTCGCTTCCTCCACCGACACCAAGATGAGCTTACATCCCAATGGAGTACTTCTATGGATCGACAACGCCACGCTGCTGACTCTGGCGATAATTACAAGGTGTATTTTGAACAGCTGGGCAGCAAAATCGATTTCTACGAAGTGGAGCCAGAGCATACGTACAATATGGACGAGAAAGGCTTCATGATTGGAGTCGTTGGCAGACAGAAGAGGGTCTTTAGTAAGACGCTGTTTAAGAAGAAGCAGTTTAAGCAGATGCTGCAAGACGGCAATCATGAATGGATAAGCCTGTTGGCGTGTATATGCGCTGATGGTGCAGCGTTGCCGCCAGCTCTCATATATGCAGCCGACTCAAAGAACATACAAGACACCTGGGTTGAGGATGTGAAGGTGGGAGAACATATGGCCTTCTTTGGAGTATCAGGCAGTGGCTGGTCGAACGATGGACTAGGTCTTGCCTGGCTTCAGCAGGTGTTTGACCGTTTTACAGCAGCCAAAGCTCAGAGGAAATACCGCCTATTGCTTGTGGATGGCCATGGGAGCCACCTAACAGAAGAATTTCTGGAGTATTGCCACAGGCACAAAATGCTATTAGGTATCTATCCACCTCACAGCACCCACACGCTGCAGCCGCTCGATGTAGTAATGTTTAAGCCACTTAGCACAGCATACTCAAAGAAGCTCGCAACACGCCTTCACAAGCATCAAGGCCTAGTGCCTGTAACTAAAGCCGACTTCTTTGGCCTGTTCTGGGATGCTTGGGCAAGCAGCTTTACTGCGAAGAATATCTTCAGCTTGTTCAAGGCAGCAGGTGTACATCCCTTTAACCCAAACGTTATACTCGATCGCTTCACCAACGACGACTCAGATACGTCTAGCAACGCTTCAGAGGAAGCTCCTACATATGGCGGTGAGACATGGCAGAAGCTGAATACAGTTATAAAGCGCGCGTTGAGTGGTGCCTCAGAGAAGGACGCATCTATCGTTCGGCAATCGCTCCACCACATGGCTATACAGAACACCCTTCTGCAGAGTGAAAATGAGGGCCTGCTTGACGCTCTTACTGTTAAGAAAAGGAGAGGGATGAAGGGCAAGTCTCTAGACCTGCTGCAACACTATGAGTACTGGGGGCCTTCGATGATGTGGACTCCCCGGTCATTCAGAGAAGCCAAGACCCGCATGAGGCTTGCAAGGGAGGAGCAAGAGGCAGACAAGAAGGAAAAGGCTAACATGAAGGAGCTTGCTAAGGCTAATAAGCTATATAATGAGAAGATTGCGCAGGAGAAGCGTGATGCACGTGCGAGGGAGAAGGTAGAGCGCGAACAGCTGAAGGCAGAGAAGGCTAAGGAAGTCGCTGAACGCAAGGCAGAGAGAGAGCGCCAAAGGCAAGCTTGCGACTCTCAAAATGCTATAAAAAAAGCCCTCTATAGGCAAGCGCAAGGCTCTAGAGAAAGCAGCACCAAGGAAGAAGCAGAAACGTAGTGCTGAGGATGATGTGGGTGGTGCCTCACGCATAGCGCGCACGCCTACACCTCCACACCGAACGAACACTCGCGGCCGCAAAATCCTTCGGCCAAGAAAGTATTGGTGAGAAATTTTGTCGCATAGGTCTATAGAGTACTGTGCTAAGTTTCCTTGTAATAATTACTTGTGTGTGTGGCTCCACAGCCTTAATTTTGTGTAGCCCGTTTTGGTGATGCGCGTGCATTGACTTGAGTAGGAGGCGTCTACTCCCGCCTGAGCTGACAACAACAATTGAAGTCGACATCTAACAGAACGACCGAGGAAGCACTCATTCGATTTTACATCTGCTGGCCCTGAACAAGATGGTTCTCGGTGCTTGCATCGCAACCTTTCGCACCTGATGGCCGCAACCATGAGTGTCCTATCAATGGCGTAACGTACTCCACAAGCGAGCCGGTCACCCAAGCGAGCCGGTCACTTAATTTTACACCAAAAATTGAGATTTTTGCACCTTAATAACTCCACAACCAGATGATAGAATTGTCTAAAAATCTAAATGCTATGCTTTACCTATGTCAAGATCAGTTGCCCTGGAGATCTAAGCTCTATCCTTAACGTGTGTAGAGTTATTAGAAAGTACGCTAAAATAATCCCTGTATTTTGATTTTTGTTTAATAACTCCGGTGCGACTGATACAGGATCCTAGCGCTTCTATAGAATTGATCTTTACGTAGATGCAGCATAGTATTTCAAGTTTTAGACAATTCTATTATCTGGTTGTAGAGTTATTAAGGTGCAAAAATCTTAATTTTTGGTGTAAAATTGAGTGACCGGCTCGC